CCTTCCTTCCTTCCTTCCTTCCTTCCTTCCTTCCTTCCTTCCTCCCTCCCTTCCTTCCTTCCTTCCTTCCTATCTTCCTCTTTCTCTTGACTTGGGATTTAAAAAAACCACAATGGGATTTAAAACAATGCAAGTAGATAAGTAGATTAAATAATGGGAGCAGAACATCATTTAACCTCCTGTATACTGCGCTCAATAGCAAAGCAATTGATGGTCTCTTTCTCTCTGTCTCTGTCTCTCTCATACACACAGAGAGACAGAGACAGACATCAATTTCTTTTCAGCAAAGCATCTTGTAATAATTTTAAAAGGTGGAGCCTTTTAATTAAAAAAATATGTTTCTAAAGCCTTCCTGCAAAGTAATCCTGTATCCACTGCCAGGTAGATCTACTCACAATCTGTTTTCTACTTACCATCATAGCCATGCATTGAATCTTGAAGTTTTGTTAGACTGACAATGCATTTCTCCCCCAAGGTTACAATGTAAGCATTGCCTTTTACATTACAAGCATACACAAAAGGGGTTGTCTTTGCATTGTGATATTTTGCCACACAGATTGCTTCCTTGCCCCCTACCAGTTTTGGGGAATGTTAGTTTTCTATACGTCCCAAACCAACACACATCGCCATTGCAGGAAGGCTACGACCTACCAGTCATAGTTCATCATTAGGTGCCCCATAACCATAAAGTGACATAGCCACATGTGTCTAGCAAACTGAACTATGCATAGCCTGATGTTGTGATATGGATGCAAAATGAGGCCATCCCACCTCATTTTCTCTGCATTGGGCCCATTTAGATGCGAGATGTGTCAACAATTGGGAGGAAAAAACCCAGCACCCTGGAATTCCACAACACTCCCCAAAGTACATTTTATAACAATTTTAATACAAGGCTTTTACCAAGAGAGAGAGAAAAAAACATTCAAGACGTGATGGTGTTAGTAATGAAAGAAATTTCAGAGCTGATAGAACTTGAGCAATGCATGTCCAAAGCGATCATGTATCTTGTTACCAAACCAAAGCTGTTTTCTTTCCCTTTTCCAACAAGTTACTGGAGTATCCCTCAGAGGCCATGTCAGAAGCAGCTAATGAAAAGAGGAAGTGTAACACGCCATTGCATTTTCTTCTTTTAAATAAGTATGCCTGATTTTTGAAAGGGCTTACACTCAACTCTCTCTTGTTTTCATTACTGAGTTCAGCTCTTGTGAAATTTGATTGCTTCTGGAGCAGTAAGTTTGCCCCAGCGAATGTCCCCAATATATTGAAAGAAATCAGCCAGTTCCCAGTGAATGGTGGACAGTCCCAAATTCAGAGAGATATCAGGGAATTCTATTAATAAAAACTTCCTCAAATCAAACTGGACTCCTGATGATTGCCTAATGATGCCAGTAAATATAATATTCTTCGAAAAAATATACAAGGAGCGTGTCATTGCTTTCTATCTCTCTGCTTTCCCCCCAAATTTCCAAGCTTAGTGCATAATTCTGGATTTTTTTGGTGTATTTTTCCCATCCAAGCACTAATTATTTTCACTTGTTACAGCAATGAAAACTGACTGTTACCAAATATGTACATTAAAGACTGACATGGTTCTATTGGTTCATGATAGACAAATTGAAGTCCATTGTGAAACAATGGTTTCGCTGGGATGGATTTTATATAATGCTGTTCAGCATTTACCTGAAGATATCAGAAAGATGGGTTAAATGCCTAGGAATTTGAGGGCATTCACTGAATGAAACAATGTTTTCATAGGAAATCACCATGGGTGAATAGGTGACAATAGAAATTCAATAACTAAATAAAGAATGTCCACCTTTGATGAATGCAATCTGTACTGCAGAAAGAAATATGGAAGATGTGCAAAACATTTGTGAACGTGGAAGCATCTTCATTAGCAAGTTGCAAGATATTTATTTAATGCCTGATTCTGATTAAAGGTTGTTAATTACTTGGAGGTAGCCCATTTTCTGAGGACCTGGAAGCCCAGAGCAACTTCCTGCCTTTAGGTAACTAACAAGGATCCATGGGTGCTAATTCATGCACCAGCTGCTTCCTTTCTGCTACACATTGTCTATATTTTTCAAGAGATCTAAACCAATCATTTTAAGCTTCTGAGCCATGCTACCTCATTAAATTGTGGGAACTCAACTCTGGTGGAGTATCTCATAGGAATCTGCTGAGAATCTTGCCATCAGAGACCACTGATGTTGGGCAGGACAAGTAGCCAACTTTGAACATGGTGACAGCTTTTCACCACCCTCAGAAATGCACGTTTGTACATGCTCATCTCTCCTTCCATTCCTTCATTTTGCTGCATCTTAAGGACCATTCTGCTCAAAATTTCTTTTTCTTTTTTTAAAAAGGAAAGAAGCAAGAGTTCCTTTCTCATAGATGTGTTTATTAGCATTATTAGTGCTTAAGATGTGCACATCACCTTAACTTCTGGTTGATTTTTGACAAGTTTAATCAAGCATTTCATCTGATAATGGCTGCCTTTGGAGGTTAATACAATGCGGCTCACCTCCATTTCTTTCTTCCCTTTCTCTCCTCCAATAAAGTAAAATAAAGGTGAGAGAGAGAGAGAGAGAGAGAGAGAGAGAGAAGAGGATCCCTGTGGGATAATCACGGCAGTTCCTATATTCCTCACTCATCACCGAATGCCTTGTCCCACATTGAACCACCTTTATTGAAAAGTTACATCGATTCAATATATAGTAATACAGGCAAAAATAATTACAGCTTTGCGAGTGGTGTAAGACCTTAATCCGAAGCTCACAAACATTCAATAAAAAGTAGTGCAGACTGGGAAATAGGCTTTTGACAGCAGAGCCCCAAAGGAGGTGGGAGGTGGGAGGGAACAGCCTCCGAGAACAAAAGCCAAGCTACAAAAATCCACTAAGTCACCTTCTTCTATACCAGGAAAGATTTTGACATTTTAGAAATCAATTAATATTCCTTCAATTATTTTATAATCGAAGAAGCTGTGTATTAGAAAGGGATTTATAGCAGCAAAGCAAGCATCGAGCTGGCCCAAAGCAATTGCTATCCTTCCTGTTCTTTCATCAAAAATATCCTTTTTGGTTTTAATCACTCATACCTCCTTGATGGACATTTATTTTCTTATTGTTTCTCGTTCCATTGGAGGAAAGCAAATTTCCCCTAAACCTTTTCATGGAGGAACTCTAAAAAATCATGTTGCCAATTTCCCTGACCACCAATTTGAGAAGATTAAAAGGCCCCTTTGGATTGAACGAAAGATAAAGTTGAGAAAACAAGGCCTATTTCATATGGAGAGCCAGCTTGGTCTAGGGTTAAGGCACCAGACTTGAAAGTTGGAGACTGTGAGTTCAAGTTCTGCCTTAGCCATGAAAGCCAATTGGGTGACTTTGGGCAAGCTAATCTCTCTCAGCCCAACCTAGCTCACAGGGTTGTTATTGTGAAGGAGTAACATGTGTTAGATATGTTGGCCACCTTGAGTTATTTGTATAATAATACAGATGGGAAATAAATAAATAAAAATTAAATTTTCCCATGACCAAGAGTTGAAGCCCAATATTGCTTATGCTTTGGAGAGATTCAAATTCATTCTGGTCAACTTGTGTTACAAATCTGAAGTTTGGATTTTCAGTTACAAGGCTGTTTCCCTATCTGTCCCCTCCTCCTTTTCAATTTATTTTCTTTTGGCCATTTTGTTTTGGGGGTATTTTGTGGATTTTTATTCCTCCTCTCACCCTGGCATGCATACACTAATTGTATATGATTGTATTATAAATTATAAATTTGAGAAATAAAAAAAAGGATGACTATTAATTACTAACCTCCCCCTATGATTACCAAAAACTAATAAAAACGATGAAGGCTAGAGCAAGAGAATAAATGTCATTTGTCTGCCAGCATATGTATTAAAAAAATGTCTGAAGAAGGCTAATGTTTCATTTAGTATTTAGCATCCAAGTTATTTAAGACAGAATAGAACAAAATCAGAAAAATAAATTGTCAGAATGGGAAATAAACTTTGCAGTCTTATATTTGTTTACTTAATTGGGAGTAAGTCCCTCTAAATTCCACAGGGTTTCCTTTTGAGTAGACAAGTATAGGATTACATCGTAAACATTAGAGGCTGTTGAAAACTTTGTAACTTAGATGTAAAATTAAGTAGGGGTGCACTGAAAATTCCCCAGATGAAAAGCATGCGAGAGCATTTTCAGCATTGGAATGATAGGAAAATGAGTGTCAAAATATGTTAGGATTTATAAGGAAGAAGTAAGGGTGTGTGGATGTGGATGTTTTCCCTGTATTTATAAAAGAATAACTGGAGAGTGGACAGCTGTAAATCAGATATAAGTACTTTGCTAGCTTTTTTAAAAAAACTCTGAGTGTAGGTTTTTGTTTACATAGATATGCATTTACATTTTTCATTATTGTTTAAATGTTACCATGAGCTGCCCAGAGATGTTTGAAATGGGTGGCCATATAAACTTTTTAAATACATAAATAAAATGAAAAATGTGAAAATTTAACATTTAAAGGCCCAATCTGTTAGGGAACAGAGGTACAAATAACTGAGGCTGTATCTAGTTTCATCTGCTTGTGTCCGTGGTCCTTAGTTTTATTCATCCCTGTTACTTCTAATGCTTTTATGGTTTTTAATGGTTTTAGACTTTTGCTTTCATTGTGTTATAAACTGCCCAGTGTCACTTTGAGAATGATTTAATCAATTTAATAAATAAATAAACAAACAAACAAATAAATAAATAAACCAGCTTCCATGGGAAGGTAAAAAATCCCAAAATGGCAGTTAGAACCATGCCGCTGAAGCCCTGCCTATCTTTATGATATATGTGATGAGAAGGTGGGACTTCGATGGTACGATTCTGTCTGTCATCTTTTTTGAAACTCTACCCCCTCTGCCCCATTTGCTGACCCCTGCGTTATTTCTGCAAGTTTCTGTTTTGAAAATGTAAATATTGTCTGTCTGTCTGTTTGTTTTCCAGCCATGACTGGTCTTGTTGTACCTCCAATGTGAAGAGAAGAGAAGGCATTGCTGGGATTTCTTCCCTGCCTCCCCCGGTCCTTTTTTTTTTTTCTACAGCACAAAACTACTTATTTGTTACGGACCTTAAAAAAAAAAAAAAAAAGCTCTAGAAGCTCAATCGATGGGGGAAGCCATGTGCCAGAAGGAACGGAAATTTTACAGCGTTACAAAGAGGCTGTTGCAAGTTGAAGACATCAATACCCGAGAACATTTTTTTTTAAAGAAAAATAGGAATTGGCCAAGATCCAGATGTATGCAGGTTATGGGATTGTATATGGAGCACAAGCTTTTCTTTTCCTTTTGTTCTCTTTCCTTGTGGACTCAAAACCTTCCTAATGTTTATAGAATATAAAAAGAAGGAACAGGTTGGCCAACCATTCGAGCTTGATATTTTGGATACTCTTTGTTTTTCTTTGTAGGGAAAAAAAAGTCGAAGTTTCTATTTTCTATGGAGCCTTTCAGATACCAATTTAGTTTATGCAGAAAAAAAAAAAAGAAATCTCAAAACAGGGTACCAGCATGAGGGACTTTCCTATAAAACCGATATGCTGATATGAGTGGTGGAATGTTGGACGTGTGTATGTGTATTGACTTATAGTTTAATCTCTTTTCAAATGAAAAAAATGTAAGATGTTTTACAATTATTTAAATAAATAAACTTGTAAGTTATTGTATGTAGAGGTAGACATTGAAAACTTTGGGGGGCAGCTTCTTTTTTTCTCCTATTGTACAATGAAAATTGGCAAAAACTCAGCAACCATTTCTTAACGCTAACAATCTCTGTTCAGTTCTCTCCTGCTCTTGATGGAACCACTTACAGAAATATCTCAAAATTCTTCACCAAGGACTCATCCACAATCTTTTTTATACACACAATGCTATATATATATATACATATATAAATATATACATATATCTCTCTATATATTAAAATATAGGACCGTCGTTAATGTATGAATATTATACATTTTCTCATGTCTTGATTAAGGTTTCAGGTTCTGGTGTGATTTGTTTACTTTCATACCTCTCAGTAACTACGTGGCATGTGTGAAGTCTCGCATCAAATCCTCTTCATTTTTCAGGTTGCAATTTGAGCAAGAGGGAACCGTGAGGCCATTTTTTTTTATCCTCCCCCCCCCCCCCCCAAGTTTGTTGCTTTTCAGAAAATATTTTGTCTAATTTCTGAAGCAAAAATTCAGAAATTGTGTTGAAAAAAATAGCAAAAATTATGTTGTGTTGCAAAAAGAACTTTGGCACTTACCTAGGAGACATAATACTCTCCAGTGAATGTTGAGATGCTAACTTAACATTACAAATGAAGGCAAATTTATGTGTCCCAGGATAATGTTGCAGGATCCAATCTGGATTGGACACCGGGACCAGAGGTTTAAACTTTTGGACTTGTGCTGAAGCCCCCTCCTCAGAGAACTTATCCCTGTTGGAAAGGAAGTTCTCTCTTCTCTCTCCTTCTAACATTCTGGTAGAGAGAAGTCACCTGAGGATAGACATCAGCACGAGTCCGAAATCTCGGAGGACTAAACTTGTGGTCTTGGTGACTGACCCAGATTGGCTACCGTAACTTTACATTGGCAAATATGTTTTTCATTGGGGACAGTTATAACATTTATCTGGGATCATCCATGTTCATCTTGGAATATCAAACGTCATTGAGTTTCATTTGTACGCATAGAGGTGATGAGTTATCTGCATATTCTAAATACGGTGTAGGAGCAGAAATGCGGGAAAGCTTGCTGTCTGGAAAATCACTGGTTTCATGGGCTTAGTATGAAGTGAAGATTTCGTTCACTAAAGACATCTCCATTTTGATGGAGGGATAGTTTCTGGACATGCCAATAGTAGCATATGAGCAAAAGTCCCACCATTAGAATAAACGGGAAAACTTAATCTGCACAAGATTCCCATATGTGCCTGCTTCAGAGCTTCAGAACTTGTGTGGATCTAGGAATTGGGGCACTGTCTCTTGAAATTCTCAAAGCGTGTCTTGAATCCAAGATCCATCGCTCCCCCTTTTGATGTGTTGATTATTGATAAGCACTGTTTTATAAAACGTTTTAACTTTCCTAAAGCCTTCTCAATCATCTTTTGTTGCTGTCATTGTAACCATCTCTATCCAAGTCCCATAATGTTGATAATATGCCTATAAAATTTATAAATCACATTGTTTTTTTTACAATATACTATTTATATATGTACCTGTATTTTAAGGTGAAATTCAAATTTCTGTGCACCCAGTGAGGGTAACTGTGTTTTTTTTCCCAGGGGAATAAAAACATTAGTGTTTTCCCACAATGATTGTTGTTAAAGTTCATGGTCCCCCTTTTCACATACACAAAAAAGCCAAATTAATGCCAGGAAAGTGACTTCATAAGTGGATGTATATTTTAAGATATTGTGGTTGCAGGAATATTCTCTTTCTTCATTAAATTAGACAAATTAAACTCACTATCAGGAATCGAAAGCTGTGATACTTACCCTGTTATTATGCTCAATGTTTTAAAAATCAAAATACGAAAGAAAAGATTTTTTTTCTCCCCCTTTTTCTCAAAAAGAGGAAAAAAAGCAGGCAGGGAAAAGAATAGCATGCTGTTACCTCTATTGGCTTCATTTTCACCATTACTGATATCAGCCCCTCACCTCCACCACTGCTACAGACAGTCCTTGACTTATGATCACAATTGAGCCCAAAATTTCTGTGGCTGAAACATTTGTTAAGTGAATTTTGCCCCATTCTGCAACCTTCCTTGCCAAAGGTGTTAAGTGAATCACTGCAGTTGTGAAGTTAGTAACAGGTGAACCTGGCTTCCCCATTAACTTTTCTTGTCAGAAGATTGCAAAAGGTGATTGCATGACCCCAGGACACTTGAATTGTCAAGCATTTGCCCAGCATCCAAATTTTGATCACATGATCATGGGGATGCTATAATGGTCATAAATGTGAAAATGGACATATCACTTTTTTCAGTATCGTCGTAACTGTGAATGGTCACTAAATAAACTGTTGTAAATTGAAAATGGGACGTGGTGGCTCAGTGGCTAAGACGCTGAGTTTGTCAATCAGGAAGGTCAGCAGTTCAGCGGTTTGAATCCCTAGTGCTGCATAATGGAGTGAGCTCCCATTATTTGTCCCAGCTTCTGCCAACCTAGCAGTTTGAAAGCACGTAAAAATGCAAGTAGAAAAATAGGGACCCCTTTGGTGGGAAGGTAATAGTGTTCCATGTGCCTTCAGTGTTTAGTCATGCCGGCCACATGACCATGGAAATGTCTTTGGGCAGCAATGGCTCTTTGGCTTTGTAACAGAGATGAGCACCACCCCCTAGAGCCAGAAACAATTAGCACACATGTGCAAGTGGAACCTTTACCTTTACCCAAGTTGAGAACTACTTGTATTTAATAATGCATTATTCATAAATATGGACCTGAATAGAATAGGGTTGTCCAGTTATGATTTGTTGGGATCAATTATATACTATGGATTGAACTAGTCAGCTATGTAACAGGTGCACACATCCACTATAGCCTATAACAGTTTTTCTGAACTGGGAATCTACAGATCTATGGAATTTTTTGAAATATCCTCCAAACAAAATTGTAGGGTTTCGCCAGGAAAAGAGAAGGGCAAAATGACCCCAATTGTATTTTAAGAATACAATTAATTTTATGTCTGAGCAGACATGCTGAATAATGAAATCATAAACTTGGAAAAGGTTAGTTAATGAATCCAACTCTGTAGCACTTTCCAACTTTCTAGTCTAATTAAGGTTTTAGGATATAATTCTATATTCCAAACTTTCAGATATGTGGATTTTAACTTGGAATGCTTGGTTGAAGTCATGTGGGAGTGGTTGCAGGCCATGAGAAATGATGTTTGTTGCAGCTGCCTTAAGCAGAAATATTTTGAAATAGCTGAATCGGTTCTCATCCTTTTAGCTAAGGTCATGCAGTGTGTGTGTGTGTGTGTGTGTGTGTGTGTGTGTGTGTGTGTGTGTGTGGTGTGGGGTGTATGTTTGTGTGTGCCCAATTAAAACAGAATGCTTCCTCTTTACCTGCTCACAGAAACAAATTTACATGCAAACACAGAAGCAGATGTTCTGAAGTTGAAGTTCCATGGGATCTAACTTCATCCAATCTATCAGACAAGATACTTGGCTTGGTTAGTAATCTTAGGTATTTTTTCAGTACAAATAATTCTCAATTTAGGACCACAATTGGGACTGGAACTTCCATCATTAAGCGAGGCAGTTGTCAAGTGAGTCAAGCCCATGAGTCAAGCGATAAATAGTGATCATCCAAATGTCCAAAATTTTTATCATGTGACCATAAAGACATAATGATGTTGTAAGTGTGAAGATGTTTTTCAGTACCATTGTAAATTTTGGTCACTAAATGAATGATTGTAAAGACTACCTGTACAGGAAGTAGCAGTGGGAATTCAATCCATGGATTGAATGTTAAATGCATTGCACCACCTATAAAAGGGGATATTGTAGTAACCGGGTTAAACATTTTGTGTTCCACAGCCAACATTTACTCCAAAGTAAATTTGTTTTCAGTTGAACTGCAGGTTCATTCTAGCCCAGTGAATCAGTCGAGCGACTTGCCAACCCACAATCTGTTGATGTAGGGGAAGCAATGATTTTAAGGCAAGATTCAAACACTCTTATATATCAGGGGAGGGGAGGGAAGAGGCCCAACAGTCCTTGTAAATAAACAGACAATTATTTTAATTTTTTTTGGTGGTAAAACATTTTTTTAATGGGGGAAACTATGTGAGATTTTTACCGGGAAAAAATATTTGTTCTTTGCCAGTTTCAATTATGGCTTTATTCCAAGTTTTCTAATCACCCCCAAAAGAGCGTGGGGGAAGCCCATGAAGATATTTCTGACTTTCAATGTTTACTTTTTAATTTTATTTTATTTTACACACAAGAAGGAGAATGGAAAAAGAAAAAGGAAAGGAAAATATATATACTGGAACATCTGTTAATGAAAAATATTCTTATATATGCATTGGTGTTGTATTATTGAATTAGTCATATTTAAGTCAGTTTCACA